GATTTGTAACCAATATACATACCTGTCACGTGAAAATCGGGATAAATATTTTGCACTTCTTAAATCTTCTTGGACCCGGGTAAAGAAAATATTTGGCACTGTACTCGAATAAGTAGTATACTCGATTATATAAGATGCCCCATTTGAAGTTCCCACTCGATTATTTCCTGAACTATAACTCGTTTCAAAAAATGTTTCCGAGACGAGTATATAATCTTTATAAATTTTTAGATGTGTTTCTGAAATTTTATGGTGACCTCAGCAGATAGTTCAGTGACCTATAATATTTCTGTAGGGACACATCCCAGATGCGAAAAACGAAGGTTCCTTGTAAATATTTTCGGCTCCTTCGGGACATCGAGGGTCCCGGGGGATCAATGGGGGCCTGGTTTATGTCTTTACGACCAGGGCCCCATAACTCGCGAATCACCTCGACGAAAAATAATAAAATAATGAGCGGCGAGAAAGAGTCAATTCGTTTACGCCTCTCCAAAGACACGGATCTTTCCCGAAAAGTTAGCCTTCCGTTTTCCGCATCTGGTCCCCCGTATATAATAAAGTCCTGCTAAGAAAACGTAGTGCTCTTTTCACTCGATCCCTCTCGTTCTCCACCTTCACTTAGATCTTTGAAAGCATCGAAGCGTATATCCAATCGGTAAAATAGATATCACCGATCAATGTATTCGCCAAGATGATGGAATAGTGCTACTATAATGCGATATTATAGATTAAACGAGGAGTTATGTTACAGGTTAAAGTCGCTGTAAGACAAAAATTAGACCAGCATTCGTTCCATACTACTTCTCCTAGGGCACAAGCAGTTCACGATGCAAACTCTCGAGGATGTCGATGTTATCGAGATTGTTAAAGGACTTGCAGTTTCTCATTTCTGGACTGTTTGTTACCCGGGTCAGGAAAGTGAAATAGTAATCTTGCAATTGTTATAATCAGATTAACGTTAGAAAATGAGGAAAGTTAGTTTATGTGCTTTTGTACTTATCTAGAAGATTAATTGTATTTTTCATTTCCAAGAAATTCTGCAGTGATTTATTTTTTAGCACTTTGTATCTCGATCTAAACTACCATGCTCGGCCATTCGCTTCGTTATATCAGCCCCGTGTCGCTGCTATCAAACTCGCATTAATCGACCCCGAACTCGTACGATTATACTTGTTAATTACGCGATATGTCACTCTTAAATCGTTACGTTCGAGCTGCTGGAATCTACGTATTTCCAGATAAATATTAAGTAGAATAATTTCGGGAAATTTCACTTGGAAGATAACGTGAAAATCGAATTTATTTTTCTAAGTTAAATCTAAAAGTATGTCTTTTATGCCTTGATGCGCAGAAGTATCAAACTATTCGTGGTAATTATTCGTACTGTAAAAATTCCTTCGAAGAGCACAAACCAGTGAAAACGAAGCCGAGGATAATGAATGCAAAATAATCAGAGAAAGAGCAACAAGACGCGAAAGTTCACGTCATTTAAATCCAAAAGTTCCCAAATTCAACGTGTCGTCTGCCGCGTAAACCTGCTTCGTTTAATGAAAGACGATTTAATAAACATCAACCGTGCAGCTGGATCCCACTGCTTTGCAATGCAACTCGGTAGTTCAAAAGTTGCATCCCAAAATCCGCAATATTATCATGCAAAGCGAACCTCAACATAGAACTACTTACATACAACTAACCGAAACGCTGGTACCAATTATCCTGAACACATTTCTGCACCATTGCTCCAACATGCTCGAGATGCTTATTTGTCATAAAATATAATTTAATTCCAAATTTACATTCTACGTCGATTTTGTAAATTCCTGCATCAATTCGCACATTCATAGATTTGCAACTAAATTCATTCTTGGGTATTATATCGAATAATTAAAAAATCGTTTATCAGAGCATTATTCTCTATCAAAAATGAAGTTTATGGAACATCGATTCTATAACTTTTGTACCAATATCGTTGTTTTACAGGTAACAAGAGCACCAATTTTTGATATTTTGAAACACGATTTTTTGAGTGAATTCCTTTCAAAGAGCTGTTTCAAAAATTTCAAAATCGGTCCACAGAACCGATACTGTATTCGAAAATTCGTTGGCATTAGCTTGTTTGATACTCACGGTATATATTAGATAAACGAAGGCTGCCCTAACTGCGAGAGATATGCCATGATTAATTGAAATAGCGGTACATAATCCCTGGCGAGTAAATCGACAAATCGAGTATTGAATTTCAATACACTATTAGTGCCCGTGAACGATGCATGATACGGAATGCACGAATGCCTACAGTAATATGTAATAGCATATACGAATGTTATTCCTCCAGAATTAACATTCAACACCAGCCATGGAACTATCGTTAAATTCTGTCCCATCGTCAGTCGTATTTAACCGTGTTAAAGAAAAATTTCTACGATACGATACCATTTCATCGGACACGCGTTAGAGACAAATACACGAGGCTCATACAAGTTCAATATGGAAACACGCGAGTCGGTGTACGAGTGAGAACTAATCCCATTTCGAGATAAATAGCGAACTCGTGCAGCGAAAATGATGTGACAGGAGCTTCAAGGATAGAAGCATGATTTTCGTTATGTATATATATATATATATTTTTATTCTCTCTTTTTCTCGTTGATCGAGAAGGTATTGGCCTTCTGCAATCACCAGCTTTGACAAATTTGGAATAATTAAAAGAAAAAGACGATTTCACGGTCGACATAATAGCAAAGTCACGTGTCAATGATTTCATTAAAATCTGATTCGAGGAAACGATATTTCAGGCGCATAAAATCAACACTTACGACGGTCCTGTGTAGTGAAAATGATGTGACAGAACCTTTAAGGATATAAGCATAATTTTTGCTATATATATATATTTTTCTTATTTCCTTTTCTTCCCGTTGATCGAGAATGTATTGGCCTTCTGCAGCCACTATCTTCCACAAATATGGAATAATTAAAAGAAAAAGACGGTTTCACAGTCGACATAATAGCAAAGTCACGTGTAAATGATTTCATTAAAATCTGACTCGAGGAAACGATATTTCACGCGCATAAAACTGACACTTACGATGGTTCCGTGGAGCGCGTTGCACAATATCGCAAATAGAGCATTTATTTAAGGTCCTGTTTCGTAATAATTCAGAGCGCGTTTTAATCCAGCGTTGCTCGCGCGAGAGCCGCATAAATCTCGACCTGGGCGCGTTTTATCGAGTAACGACCACGGAGAATCTGAAAATTCCGCGGCTTTGTTCACGCGTGTCGTCCCGTGAAGCGTCCCGACGACCATTCGTTATATCGCCCATGTCGAATTCGCGTCCGCTCCGCGCTTTAACGCTCGGCTCCAACTCGCCGCGCCCAGCCGCGAGTTTTTCTCATCTTGATCGCGACTCTCGCGAGATCTTCCGATTTTCTTGTCCAAATTTCGATCACTATGGCACGCCCAATGTCGCGACTAATGTCGAGTTTTTTATTCCGAAAAATAGCGACAAGGTTAGTCACAATAGGTGACATCTTTACTGCTAGATAACGCTGATTGAAATATTAGAAAATATAGACAGGGTGGTGGTATGATTGTTTGCGAACAATTTATTGCACGAGTATCGAAGCGAAGTGGGTAATATGATTTCCGAATGACTGGAGTTGTTGCTGCGTTCGATATATGGTTGACCTGTATTACTAGAAGATCATATAATTCGCGGTTAAGTCTCACGGAGAATTAATAATGACAAGATCGACGTGAAAAGGTAGTTTGACGATGTAAAATATGCCGATTAAATTGAACCATTGGATTCTTGGTAACCACGAATCGATTTTCCGCGAAAATCACGCCTCGACATTGTAGCAACTGGCTAGCGTAGGTCGTAAATTTGAAAAGAGCATTTATGACATCCGGTTGCCAATTCCGCTTTACGACGAGCGAGGGCAGAACCTGTACGCCAATTGTGCTATTTCCGCAGTTAAGTAAAACGTGATTTATAGCGGAAAGTTAGCAAGCAGCTCGAGTGAAAGATTTGTAATGACGGTCTTCGCAATACCAAGTGCATCGAAGCAACTGCATTTTCCTCAACTCGGAGGAAAAATGGAATAAACAAATTAAACTTTCTATCTGTGAATCGTAAAATCCCAGTACGCGAATTCTTACATACGAAAAATTAAAACTAAGGAAAAGGTAGTGCGAATGTTCTCGGAGGAAAAGTCGAATAAACAAATTAAACTTTCGATCTGTGAATCGCAAAATCCCAGTACGCGAATTCTTACGTACGAAAAATTAAAACTAAGGAAAAGGTAGTGCGAATGTTCTCGGAGGAAAAGTCGAATAAACAAATTAAACTTTCGATCTGTGAATCGCAAAATCCCAGTACGCGAATTCTTACATACGAAAAATTAAAACTAAGGAAAAGGTAGTGCGAATGTTCTCGGAGGAAAAGTCGAATAAACAAATTAAACTTTCGATCTGTGAATCGCAAAATCCCAGTACGCGAATTCTTACGTACGAAAAATTAAAATTAAGGAAAAGGTAGTACGAAAAGGTAGTGGTGAAACTAACGAAAGTAAAAATTTATCAACTTCCTTTACACCGTTTTATTATTTATAATAATATCGTTTCACGAACAACTCTTTAAGAAAGAAAATAACATTTTCCCTGGAATTTTCCGATTCGTCAATTTCCAGATGAATTTCCACTATACTTCCGAGAAATTTACGTTATTCTCAAATGTAAAATTGAAACACACTCGTTGTTCCTATATCGATTAACGCTCTTTGATTGATCATTCGTCAAGTATATATATTAAGAGGTAAAAGAAGTACGTCGTACATCGTTGATAGATTCGGCTAGTCTCTCTAACTTCCCTAGCTCCACTAGTTCCCCCAGAAAATCCACTTTCAGGGAATTCTCGTTTCTCATACTTGCAGGCTAAGAATACGAAAGAGGATGTCGAGGGTCAGTCATTCAATTTGCATATACGTTTTCTCTTTCACAGGCCTGCCGAGGGACGAGGGTGGACAATGGCGTACAAATGTATTATGAGACGGACGCCATGGCTACCTTCAGTCTGCCTTCCTACGCGGACATTATGGTCGCATACTCTACTTATGACGGTAGGTCTCGTGTATTAGACGTTCTGCTCATATTTTTGACACACCCTATACACATACGCGGAATCATTGACGGACTACATCCGCGAACCAGTGACAAATCCACGATAGTTCCAAGAAATATTACGTCCAACTTCATGTTAGAACAGGTAGCAAATTACGAAAGTGGTCTGATGGTAAGTTTCTGGCATCATGCATATTATAAATTAAAAAATAATAACAACTGCGATAAAGCTGCACACTCATAATCAGTCTAATTCAATTCTTTGCTGTCTTGCGAAAAATTCTTCTACTTCATAATACATTTCACGGTACTTTATTGGTAAGATAGCAAATAATTGTGAGAATGATGAGCGAATGACATTTATTAATGAGGATTCGATAGCTGATGTGTTTCTGCGTGGAACAATGCGTCAGGGTCCTCTAGCGGCCATTTATTCTTTATTATCTCGGGTCACTGAACACGAGGCGTCGATCAGATGCCTAATTTAGGAAATTAGAGCTTAGGATTTGGCTGACATTGGGCCGCAGGAGATCAGGGCCAGGTCATATGAGTTAGCTTGGAGCAACTTTTCCCTACCATAAACCGAGAGTGAGGGCCTCACTTTGAAGGAGGAGTCTGCTCTATCACCGACTTTGGTGAGGCGGAAGTTCCTCCTACTTTTGGGGTCGTTCATTCACGGACCGAAGGCACTTGCCTTTTGAACGGGCTTAAAAGCCCGTGTCTAGAGGTCAAGCTAGGAGTTGGAGTAGAGTCGAGAGTTAGTCGAATTAGAGTAGAGAGTAGAGATCGAGAAAGTAGAGGCTAGAGTTAGTTCGGGTTTAGTCTAAAGTAAGAGCATAGATCAGTCGGAGTTACAGAAAGCGAACGTGCTGATAGAGTGTTCCAGTGCGAGGGTTAGGTCGTCAGCTAGGAGCTGGTAGAGTGCAGTGTGCCAGGAACCAGTCTCAGTTCCATCACTCGACCATACTCACTCACACTCACACTGTATGGAAGATCGTGGATGTTGTTTGCAAGAGGACCAAGTGGAAGGATCACATATGCCAGGGAAAGTCTAGGTATATTCTTAAATATTAAGAATTAGTACGAAAGGGAATGAATGCGAGAGCAGTTCTAAGTTAAGGTCCTGAGAGCGAGGGAGTCCTGAGAGTACCGTGAGTGATAGAGTTTGTATTATCTCCTAGTTGAAATAAAGCTATTATTGTCATCAAAAAAACATCATCACACTCACACTGTATGGGAAATCGTGGATGGTGTTTGCAAGAGGACCGAGTGGAAGGATCACATATGCCAAGGAAAGTCTAGGTATATTCTTAAATGTTAAGAATTAGTACGAAAGGGAATGAATGCGAGAGCAGTTCTGAGTTAAGGTCCTGAGAGCGAGGGAGTCCTGAGAGTACCGTGAGTGATAGAATTTGTATTATCTCCTAGTTGAAATAAAGCTATTATTGTCATCAAAGAAACATCATCACACTCACACTGTATGGGAAATCGTGGATAGTGTTTGCAAGAGGACCGAGTGGAAGGATCACATATGCCAGGAAAAGTCTGGGTATATTCTTAAATATTAAGAATTGGAACGAAAGGGGATGAATGCGAGAGCAGTTCTAAGTTAAAGTCCTCAGAGTGAGGGAGTCCTGAGAGTACCGTGAGTGATGGAGTTTGTGTTATCTTTTAGTCCAAATAAAGCTATTATCGTCATTAAAGAAGCAACATTGCTTCCCGGACCTCTGTACCTCTATTCACAGGAGATTAAATCGGGATAATCCCTCCAGTATTAACGAATGCAATGCATCGCGAAGCAGACGATAAAATCGCTTCTTTCGAATTTTTCTCACGTACTACTTTTACAATTACCGACATATTTCACCTCCCTCTAAAAAAAAATCTTCTAAATTCGTCCGCGCGTGCGCGAACAAACTCCTTATTTCGCCAGACGTACATACGACGATGCTCGAGCAAGATAGGCACTCGACGGAGACGAAGTGCGTTCGTTTCCTCCGCAGGTTGTCGAGAATGTCCTCTCGGATTCGCGTTTCAACGGGTGTTTGGCCCCTAGATGGGGGCGACAACGTGCGTGTGCGATTCGCGCTCCTGTGCACTCTTGTCGAGCCTTCATTTGCAAGTCAATGGCGGGAAAGAATAGGAGGACTATAAATTTCAGGATAGGCTTTCGTTGTTATGCTCGTCGCTGTTTGTACACGCTGCTCGTAGATACGTTAGCGTTGGATAATTCGAAATTGACGAACAGTAGCTGTGATACTGGATCAATCGAATGTCGACGATTGATTTTATCGATCGTGGTGAATGTATGCGGGTGGTGGTATTTTGCTGGATGAATGGGAAGAAAATAGATGGTATCTTGGATGAAAAGAATATCGTGGGTTCTCTATCTACGTAAAATTATCTGATCTAAATAATCGAAGCTATCACGTGTCGAGATATCATTGTATGAATGGTCATTTACTATGTCTGTTACTATACCGTGAAAACTGTTTTGGAAGATACATCTGGTTGTCTATCTATCACAACACTGCCAGAAATGGAAAAATATTTTCCTTATGACACCAATCATGTCGATTATGATCAGTCCGATTGTAATCTGCGACAAATAGGCGAATAAAATATTTCGAGAGTGGTAGAGACTCTTGACAGGAAATTTTTTAGTAGAGAGGAAATTTTAGAAAGTTTGGATAATTAAGAGGATGATTCCTTTTGGAATTTTATTTTCTCGTGTATCCTACGCAGACTAACGGGGCGACGGAAATTTTGGGTCATGCTTCTCAGGGCAGTGTTCGTTATAACTTTAAATAGGAAGAATAGGAGTACCAGGTTCGTAGACTCGGCACACCTTTTTAAAAGCAGCAGATCCATAAATCTAGGTGGTCAGTCACGTCTGAATGAATAAAATATGAACTACGAGTCGTTGCGGTTAGGTCTGTCAGGAAGATATCTCCTTTAATTAATCATACTCGGAGAAAACCGGAAGATAATAAATAAATACGGAACGGCGAAATAATCTTTACGAGGGGAGAGGGAATTTATTGGATTACCGCAAGAAAGATAGAAACGCGAGGTAATTAAATGAAACTATTCTCGTACCTTCGATAAATTCTTCCGCTCTTATTATGAAATTTTCGAAATTGGGTTAATCATATTTATTCCGCAGAGATATCAGAGTAATTCAAATCGAATTAATTAAGAATTAAAAACTGTTATCTTTTAAATTACCTCGCCGAAGGTAATTCAAACGGAGAGAGTAAAGAAACGGAACGATGAAGGTAATCTCGGAGATTTTCCTTAAAAAGTAATTTCCTTAAAGAGGAATTCTTCGTGTAATTCTCGTCTTCAATTTTGCGAAAATTGTTTCCTGCAAATATTCCTGAGGAGACCGACTGCAAGGGCTGTGATATTGCTCTAACTCTGCCCAAGAGATATTACTTTTCCTGTTCGTTTGTTACCTTCCTCGTGCAATAATTCGAATATGCGAAAAAAGCAAAGCGGCAGCCAAAATTCCTCTTTGGAGTAAAATTCTCCATTATTATGCTATTGAAGTCAAATTGTCGTATTTCGGAGTGAAATTTTAGCAAAAATATAAATCCTACGCGGAATTATTACGTATATTAAACCAATTCTTCGGGTGAAAAAGGAACTCGACCCGACTAGGTAAATTTAATCGCTCGTGAAAAGGCTACTGATTAACACTTTTGCCAGAAGAATTGTCACAGACTTCCATAGAATTCTCATAAACACCTGCATTAACGTTTTTCAACCGGCTTATTCGCCAATTTTTGTTTCCAAACACGTTTCTTTAAAGACGTCTCGAATATTTCAATTCAAAAAATCCCCTGAACGCCGGATTATTTAACAAAAATCGGTCAGAAATTCCCACATTTATTCTATTTCCGATTCAACAAACCGTCGCGATGCTCAACGATTCTTCGTGATCAAACCTACGATTCGAATGTACGTGTACAAATAATCCTGCATAATCCCAAGGAATAAAATAAGATCACGATGGAATAAAATTTTACATAAAATCGGAAGATTTTACGCTCGTATATTTCTCCCCTGGAAACTTCCCTAAATCGCGAACACGGAACTTCGCAGCGCGACGACGAGAACGAGAAACAAATAAATAGGGGAGAAAGCGCAGGAGGAAAGTTGCGAGGGATGAAAACTCGACTTTAAAAAACGCGAGAGTACTTTGGTTCGAAAGCTGGAAGCATGGAAGATCGTAACGCGAAACGACACGCGGGGCCGCTTCGAAATTGGCGGAAAATCTGCAATCAATGGGGGAAGAGAATTAGCAATAATTTCGCTTATCCTCGTCTTCCGTAGCACGTCTAGATAGGCGGGCCGATAATATCAGTTTATCCGATTTGGCCTATCTAGATTTAAACGGCAGGTCGTAGCGACGCGTGGCTGACCTACAATCATGGCAGCCAGTCATTTGGAATATTAGACCGAGGGAGTGGCGATCTATCGACATCCCGGATAGCTCAATCGGTTAGGGCAATCGTCCGACAAACGGAGGATCCGGCTTTGAAAACGGGCGCAGAAAATCAATCGAATCGCTCTTTTCTCCCATCCGACGCTGTGGCGGCCACTCTGTACACCTGCTGTACGCTGCAATTCTTCGGCCAAATGCGACGACTCGGAAGCGAAGGGTTTACCGATCCATAATTCACCCCGTTGCCGTCTTTCGACTAAAAACGCTTATAAATTCAGCGACGCCTTCCGTTCCGTGAAATATAACCATCACGCGTTTTAATATTCAAGCGTAAGGGGTGTTTTCGCGGGAGATCGCTCGGGGCATAAAATTAACCCGTTCTCGTGCAGCGCCACCTATATACACCGATATATCACGCAATTTTTTCATCTCCCGTTCTCCCATGCACGTACATCCACGTAGTATATCACGCGGAATCCTTTTCGAGGCTCAAAAATATCGCTGCCGGCGAGCAGTGATCTAAACCGGTCGAACCGTACCCAGCCATCA